GGGATGTTGCTAAACATGCGGCCCTCTTGGATGCCTCGCCCAAGTACCGGTAGGTACTACCTTGCTGGGGCCTCTAAACGTTGTAGTCTGATCAGTGAGAAATAAAAAGACATCCAAAGTCAAATTATAGGAGCCTTTCTTCAAAAGCCGGCAGCTGCAGGACTCCCGTCTCTCAAAGATCCTGCGCAAGTAAAAGGAGAGGGGTGCTTAAAAAGCAAAGCTCACAACCCTTTCTGGAATGATGTGGCAATTACAATGTAAAATGAGGAGGGAGTGGAAAAGAAAGGGAATGGGGATTCCTATGTGAAAACTGTTACTGAAGCCAGATCAAGCAGGTTAATATTTTATTTTTTCAGTCTGAAAACAGCCACTCTGTTTACTTACTGACCAGATTACAAAAATAATCATGGTGGATAGCTTAGTTCATCCTTCTAATAAGTCTGTTGATCTGGTCTTCCCTGTTGCCAGCATCTCCACCTTCTACAAAATGAGTGGTCTTTTTCTTCATTTCACCTCCTGGAGGAGATAATTTGAAGGGCCACAGGAAGTTATTTCTTTCTTTGAAGCATTTTCCAACAGTATAGATTTCATGAATCAGATCCTCCATGTAGATGATGCCAAATTTACTAAGAGATCGAACAGAGTTACCTATCAAAACAATTTGTTTCTTATTGATTTTGCCATAGCAGGCTAATAATTTCTAAGGGCACTTTCCAGACCTTTGTTTAATGGTCCCCATGGCTCTGGGCAGGGGTCTGGTGATTGGTGATTATGGCACTAAGGAACAGTGACGCAAAATGGTTTGGGGCTAGTTAGCAAAGACAGTAAGACTGTTAATCACTCTGTTTACTCTGGGCAAAAGGAGGAGGCAAGTATAACAAAGTTCAAAGATGGAAGTGCTTCCGCCTCACCCTAATATGAGTTGTCTAGAAGTGGCTCTTCTACTCCAGGTGTCCAAGTTCTCCTCAGTCAGGATGCAAGATGTAGTATTCTCACTTAGTGAGCTAAACTGTGTTTGGTCACCAATCTATGTTAATTTTACTTCAGAAATATGTTTTAATCGGAACCAGCAGTTAGCGTAATGGCTATGTCGCTGGACTCCCATATAGTCGACCGTGGTTCGAGTCCTGGACCCGGTGGCTTAAACTCACGCCGGGCGCGTGTATGTGCGTGCCCAAGATCCCAAGAGGAGAATGGAGGAGAAGGGACTGCGGTGTGGCCATCCCCCCTGGGGGGTGATTTCTCACTTTCTGTCTCTCTGTCTCTCTGTCTCTCTCTGTCTTTCTGGCGAGTGCACGCGCACTATAGCAAAAACCTCTCAGAAAAAAAAATGAAATATGTTTTAATTGTTCCTTTCTCTCTTATCAGAGTCAACATCCTAGTCTAGGTACAACTCAATTCACTCTTAAACAACTGTGAAACCCTTATCCTAGTGAGTCCTTGGCTTACTCATTTTTGCAAACCCAGCACTCAAGGCATTCAATCATGTACACTCTCAACTGGGAAAGGAAGAGGTTACAGGTTACCCCAAGTTACAGTTTAAAAAAATTCAAGCTGTTTCAGGTATGTTGGCACTTACTGCTAAGATTCTGTGCTCTACAGACTGGGACCACATAGAGGCTTAAGTTTAATTCCTAGTCCAACCTAACAGCCAGATGTGATGTCACATACCTATAGTCCCAGTAAGGTTGAGACAGGAGCACCATAAACTCAAGGTTAGCCTTGACGACATAGTGAGATCCTGTCTTAAAATAAATTTGGAGAGATCATGAACTAGACATGTGTCTAGCTCATATATAATCTTTGGCAGGTGGGTAATTTCCTGAAGTCCACAGCTTCAAGTGCTTCACAGTGGCATGTGCCTATAGTTCTAGTTGCAGAATGATTACAATATAGAAAGATCCTATCTTATGTACGTGCGCGTACACACACACACACACACACACACGTCCAGCCTTAGTGGAATAACTGGCAGTGTGCAGGACTGCAGTGCTAGAAGCCACATGGCTGACCACAGGTTCAGATCCCCAGGCTGGTGTGAAAATATGCTGAAAGTATGGCCTTGGGAGCTTTGGTGGGGTGAAAGGTTCCTTGGATTATAATTATGGTGGGACTTGCTTTTCTTTTTTAAAGTTTAATTATTCATTTTTCCATAAGCAAGAGAGATGGCATGAGGGGATATATATGCTGGATGCACACAGGTACCCAAGATGCTGAGGAGCAAGAGGGCGGGGGAAAGGGGATCATAGTGTGCTGAGACCTTGTCAAGGATCTAAGCATCTTTCCTGTCTCTTTCTTGTCAGCGCACACATAAAATGACAAATTGTTACATCTCTCATTAACTCCACCATGGAAGAGATTCTTAATTAGAATTAGGCATGAAGATTGTTTGGGGATGAGGATGTGGGATGGATGTGAAGCAGAAATGGAGCTTTCCAGCAAGGTTCGAAGTAAATCCAACCAGCTGGGTTTATCAAGGATTGTTTCTCCCCTCTTTCCC